CGATGTCTGATTTCACCTTCGGAAGGGTCACAAAGTGCAAGGTCGTGTCTGTCAGAGCGACTCAGGTCAACGTTCAGCTGGCCGACAACATCCAGGGCCGCATCGACGTCTCTGAAGTGTTTGACAAGTGGGAGGACATCAAGGATCGCAAGCAGCCCTTGCGCTTCTTCCGTCCCAAGCAGGTTATCTCAGCCAGGATTCTGGGTATCCACGACGCTCGCAATCACAAATTCCTTCCTATCAGTCACCGGACCGGAAAGTTCCCGGTGTTCGAGCTGTCTGTGAAGCCAAGCTTCCTGCAGGCTGCCAACCCCAGTCCTTTGAACCTGGAGCAGGTCCAGGTTGGCTCGACTTGGGTTGGTTTCGTCAACAACGTGGCCGATGACTGCCTTTGGATCAACTTGTCCCCCAATGTTCGCGGCCGACTTCGTCTTATGGACGCTTCCGATGACCTGTCTCTCCTTGCCGATGTGGAGAAGCACTATCCCGTGGGATCTGCGCTGAAAGTTCATGTTTCCGCGGTAGACGCTGACAAGGGCCGTCTGGATCTCTCCGCCAAGCAGCGCTCCGATAAGCTTGTCTTTGAAGATGTTTCGGTTGGAATGGTTCTGCCGGGACGTGTCACTAAGGTCACTGAACGACAGGTCATTATGCAGCTCAGCAAATCGATTGTTGGTGCTGTTGATCTGATTGATATGGCTGATGATTTCAGCAAGGCCAATCCTACTGTGTACCAGAAGAACGAAGTGCTCCGCGCGTGTGTCGTTGCCATTGACAAGGTTAACAAGAAGATCTCCCTCTCTCTGCGCCCGTCCAAGGTTCTCAGTTCCTCCCTGCCCGTCCAGGACAAGGAGGTCACCTCCATCAAGCAACTCAAGGTGAACGACATTGTTCGGGGTTTCATCCGGAGGGTTGCAGACAACGGACTCTTCGTTACGGTCGGCCGCGATGTTACTGCCTATGTCCGCATCTCTGACCTCTCCGATTCCTACCTCAAGGAGTGGAAGGACTCTTTCCAGGCCGACCAACTGGTCAAGGGCCGTGTTACTGTGTCCGACTCGGAGCAAGGCAAGCTGCAGATGAGCTTGAAGGAGTCTGTTCTGGACCCCAACTACAAGGCTCCCATCACGCTTCACGACCTCAAGCCTGGCCAGATTGTTACTGGTAAGGTCCGCAAGGTCGAGGAGTTCGGTGCCTTTGTCGTCATCGACGGTTCTAAGAACATCAGCGGTCTTTGCCACCGCAGTGAAATGGCTGAGGGTCGTGTGGAAGATGCCCGGACCTTGTACGAAGAGGGCGATGCTGTGAAGGCCAAGATCCTCAAGATCGACCGTAAGCAGGAGAAGATCTCTTTCGGACTGAAGGCTTCTTACTTCGATGAGGATGAGGACAGTGACGAAGAGGAGGAGGATGACGACTCTGAAGGCGTCAGCTTGGATGGCTTCGGAGGCATTGATGTCGAGGGCAGCGACGATGAGGAGAGTGACGTTTCCATGGGCGGAGTCGACCTCGAGGGCGATAGTGACGAGGAGTCCGAAGAAGAGAGTGACGACGAGGAAATGACTGATGCACCAGCCAAGGCAAGCCGGAAAGATGGCGGACTCGGTGCTGGTGGTTTCGACTGGAGCGGCAACAACCAGGGGGACGATGAGGCTGATGCCCGCTCAGACTCGGATGACGAGGAGGACTCGCGACCCAAGAAGAAGAAGAACCGCAAGCCCGAGATCCAGGTCGACCGGACCGGTGATCTGGATGCTAACGGACCCCAGTCTGTCGCCGACTACGAACGACTACTGCTCGGTGAGCCCGACTCCTCTCTCCTGTGGCTTCAGTACATGGCCTTCCAGTTGGAGCTGGGTGAGGTCGAGAAGGCTCGTGAGATTGCCGAGCGTGCTCTGCGCACCATCACCATCGGCCAGGACGCTGAGAAGCTGAACATCTGGGTGGCCATGCTCAACTTGGAGAACACCTACGGCAACGACGACACTTTGGAGGACGTCTTCAAGCGAGCGTGCCAGTATAACGATACCCAGGAGGTTTACGAGCGGACGATCAGCATCTACATCCAGTCTGGCAAGAACGAGGTAAGTTTCACCCACATGTGCTCTGAGTTCCCTTTCGCATGCTAACGGAGTCACCTACAGAAAGCGGATGACCTCTTCCAGACCGCTCTCAAGAAGAAGGTCTTCGGTTCCCCCAAGTTCTTCGTCAACTACGCCAGCTTCCTGTTCGACACCATGGCTGCTCCTGAGCGCGCTCGTGCGCTACTGCCTCGCGCCCTGCAGTCCCTGCCTTCCCACACCCACGTCGAGTTGACGTCCAAGTTCGGCCAGCTGGAGTTCCGCTCGGCTAACGGAGACATCGAGCGTGGTCGCACGGTGTTCGAGGGTCTGCTGTCCTCGTTCCCCAAGAAGATCGATCTCTGGAACATCCTCTTGGATCTGGAGATCAAGAACGGCGATGCCGAGCAGGTTCGCCGTCTGTTCGAGCGGGTCCTGGGCATCCGCGACACGAAGAAGGGTGGCGCTGCCGCCGCCGTTGAGGCCAGCAAGAAGGTTCGGCCTAAGCAGGCGAAATTCATCTTCAAGAAGTGGCTTTCCTTTGAGGAGAAGCTGGCGTCGGCTGAGGGTGGAAATGACAAGATGGTCGAGGAGATCAAGGCCAAGGCGGCCGACTACGTTAAGTCCTTGCAGCAGGAGTAGAGTGAGCATTGGTGTTTTTGTTCTTTTTCTTTTTGATATCTGGGACATACTTAGACATGATGTGTATCTTGTATATATAAAAAAGCATTTTCAGACGTGTTTCGAAATCTTCTTCTAGGGGTATTGGTAGTTGTTATCTACAACAATGCATCCTCCATCTATACCTCAATGCAGCCTCAAATAGACAAATAGACAAACGAAGAGATTATCCCCTCCTCTTCTCAGCCATCAACCTCCGATACTCCTCAACAATGTTTCTCCGCTCATTCGCCAACTCCTCTCTGCGCCTCAAACTGGTCGCTCCACCGGCAGCAGGAACATTCGCAACATCTACCTTCGCCCCTCCCCGCACCTTAAACACCTCTCTCGGCTTCGTCAACTGCGGCGGCGCCTGCACCACATCCAACGGACTAATCTGTTTATTCATCCGTTCCTTCTTCAACTTCGCCCACGGATCCGCCTCCACCTTCGCCTGCTGCTGTTTCTGCACGCCCTTCTTCTTCGCCTTCCTCTTACCTCCCTCCGCCTCCCACTCCTTCCACAGCCGCAACTGCTCCTCCATCTCCTCTTCGCGCTCTTCCCGCTCCGCCGCCTCCTTCTCTAATATCTCCAACTCTTCCTTCCGCCATTGCGATTGCAGTCGTAGCAGATGCTTCTCATGCTTCGTCACCCGCGTTTCGCGGATCTTGGGCACATCTGTCGCGGAGGGTTTCGTGCTGCGCGACATGTTGGAGAGGGGCATTTCGCGATCGACGCGTGCCGCGAAGTCGGAGAGTTTTTCTCCGGGGAGGATCTGCGGTTTTACTGTCTTCTCTTCGGCTTGCGAGGTTTCTGTGGTGCTGGGTGTGGTGGAGGTGGTAGTGGTTGTAGCGGCCTTCTTCTTCTTGTTGTTCTTGTTGTTTGTCTGAGGGACATCTTCGTCGGAGTCTGACGAGTCGGAATCGTTATTCCCGTTACGTTTACGTTTCTTCTGCTGTGCGCCGTTTTGTTGCTTCTGCTGAAGTTGTAGCAGATGGCGGAATGCGCGCGGAGTGTCGTCGGCCCATTCTGAGGTGGATTTGGATTTGACCTTGCGTTCCCCCATGGCTTTATTTGTGGGTTTGGCTGGTGCTTGTGGTTTGCCGCCCTTGCCTCCTTTGCCTCCTTTGCCTTTGCCTTTGGTGGGTTTGGAGGGATCGCGGACGGGAAGGGGTTTGGCGATTACGGTGGGGGGGAGGTCGTAGGTGCTGTTGTAGTTTTTGGTTAGTGGGTTGGTATTGTTTATTATGGGTTGGAGACTTACTTGGCATCCTTTTCACGGCGCTTGTGTTTGTGAGGCATGGTGGTGGTTGTATATGTGGATTGTTGTGGTTGATGGGGTATCGGTGTTGGTTAGATGGAGTTGAAACTTTTTTTGGGTTTCCCTTTTCGGGTGGGCGGCGTATCTTATCGCCGCTGATAAGGATGGGATCTTAGTACTATCTACGGAAGACATTGGATATGTCATTGTAGTTCGGGGTTGGGTTTGGTTGTTTCTACATGATAATATTGTGTATATTTTATTTGTAAAGATAGTGGCCACCGGTATATAATTTCATTTGGGTTTTCTTATGTGGCTGGTTTGGTACTAAGGATCAAGGATGGTATAATAGACCTGTGATATATGTTGGACCCTTTGTAGGGCCAGCCTAGAATATATATTCCGACCTATCAGGTAGGATTGAACAGCATAGGGCAGAACAACTCTACATGAACCTGACCATAATAGGGATTATAGTGAATAAGCAAATAAAATAATATAATCATACTAATGAGCAACCCAGTTTTCATTTCTAAGCATTCGACCACCAGGCTCCAGAGTGTAATCCGTACATCCGAAATGCAAGCTAGACTGACTGCCCTCTCGGATATAAACCACCAGTTAAATGCGATGCAACGCTGGCCCTACACTGTCATTCGACCATAGCTAAATGTCCCAATCACACACTACCACCGCTTTTAAAGTAGTAATCCTCTAGGTCTATAATCCTAGCAACATCCAGTATTAACCCTAACTGTGTAAGTACTACTAGTGATAGCAGTGTGTTGGACCACTTGTTGTTCTGCAGCCTAGCCAATTTAGTGCGAGAAGTCTGGTCTGGTCCGGCACTAATCAATTCCCCGATCACCTCATGCTTGCTTGCACTGCACTCTGGGTAAGTCGGCACCATAGAATGTTGTTCAAGGGTTCCATCCACATCCACTGCTGGTCCGCGGGATTTTTCATTTTTTTCGCCCCCCCTCCTCTCTCCTGTACGTTTGTGTCCCACAGTGGGTGGTGGTGGCCGTGTCATTTTTTGCTGATGATCCATGTGTTTAGGCAACAGTCTCATCTTCTTCGATTATTGCCTTATTGTATATAGTAATTATTACTAGTACGTAGAATGCTTGTGATGAGGTGAGGTTAGACAAGAAGGGGACCCTTTAAACTAGTAATATTAAAATAATGGTGTCTGACATATAGGTAACCACTATCATATAAGTCACTGCAGTATTAGGAACAAGACTTTCTTAGGTTGGATGGAAGGGTAGACTAGTCGGGATGGACCAATCGTCAGCTTCAGTGCTGCACATGGGCGTGTTGGCTCGTTCCCCGACCTTCTTCTGGCCTGACAGAAGGATTGTACTAAGGTTTCAATACTGAATGATATTCCATGGATAGGAACGAGAAAGATGTGTGTCAAGACAGGGTCTACACGAATCCTGAGTGTGGTCGTCAGCACGCAAAGAGAAAGAGGGAATATCAAGATGGGTGACATGGTTGATCGGTGAATATCAAAATTAAATATGACTGTGACAACCAAATTTACCTTTGGGAAGTGGAGATCGCTTCACCCTCACATTCCTCCCTCCCGGGGCCCTGCGGCAATTCGGCTGCAACTGATGGATCCCACCCCCTCTTCCTCATCCTCCAGGGCACTTTCCCCCATTGAATGAATGAATCATGGGACGACCGTTGGTGGTCCGGGCAGCTTTTCTCGCTCGACTTATCGGCATTTGCCTGACCCCCCGATACCTTATATAATAATATAAACCCCATATAGCGACTCCCTCTTCCCTACTTACTAGTACTACTCCTACTTTCTTTCCTCCCTCTTGGTTCCTGACTAGCAGTGAGTGAGTGAGTGAGTGAGTGAGTGAGTGAGTGAGTAAGTAGTGAGTGAGCGGATCAAGCAGTATGGCCTCTTCGTCTCCCTCGGCTTACCCTCATTCCACCTTCTCCAATCACGACGATAAAAGTCAATTGGACCGGTTCCCATTAGACAAGGATTTTGAGACGAGTACTGCCCTCAATGACACGGCCTACGATGCTGATGTAGAAGCATCCCAATTCTACGCGGCCAAGCGACCACGATCGGGGGGCATGCGGGGAATCGTTGCTCTTATCGCCGCCTACTTATCGCCGCGGGAGAAACAAAAGAAGCATCACCGCCAGCCCGCCGACGCTCGCCCACTGCTCGCCTCCGCCAACAACGCCACTCCCACTGCCGCCTGGCATTCCTCCTCGCGACAATATCAAAGAATCAAATCACTGTCGCGGTGCTTGTGTTACCCTCTACTGGGACTCCTCGTCATGCTGTGAGTCGAGTTCCCCACCCACCTACCTTCCCTCCACCTCTTCCCCTAATGGGTGAGTGTTCCCGTCAACTCACCTCCCACCGATTTAGGGGCGTCGTCCAGTTCATCTCCATCGCCTGCAGCATCGCCGTCTCCTTCTTCCCCGACGAATTCGACCGTGCCATCGAGCGGTGGCGTCATAGCGACCAGCGATCCCCATCCGCGGACATCCTGCATTGGCCAACAGACATCTCCAGAGATATCGTCCCCGTGCGATGCCACTCTCACAATGACTACTGGCGCCCCGTGCCGTTGTTCTCTGCCCTGCAGGCTGGTTGTACCGGCGTGGAGGCCGATGTGTGGCTCGTCGAAGATGACCTCTACGTCGGCCATACCATGTCGGCGCTGACGCCCCAGCGAACTCTGCGCAACCTGTACATCAACCCGCTGCTGCGCATTCTCGAGCAGCAAAACCCCATCACCGACCTCCACCCTCAGCGCGACAGTCCGCCGCAAGGGGTCTTCGACATGGATCCCTCGCAAACCCTAATCCTGTTGATCGACTTTAAAACGGACGGTCAAGAAACTTGGAACTACGTGCATGCACAGCTCGCCCCGCTCCGCGAGCGCGGCTATCTTTCCTTCTTCAACGGCACCGACATCATTCCGGGCCCCATAACCGTTGTCGGCACCGGCAATACCCCCTTCAACCTAGTCACGGCCAACACCACCTACCGCGATATCTTCTTCGATGCACCACTCGACAAACTTGTCGACGACAACATCACCGCCGAGGACTACAACAATGACGATGACTTCTCCCCTTCAAATACCCCCGAAGCCGCAAAAGACACAGGGATAGCCACCCGCGCCACCAAGAATGTCGGTCAAGGCCTGTCCGGCATTTCCGACGCAGAAATCGGCCCCGACACCTTTGATTGGACCAATAGCTACTACGCTTCCGTCTCCTTCAAGAAATCCATCGGCATGCCCTGGTCCTTCCGGCTCTCCCAGCGCCAAGTCGATCAGATCCGCGCCCAGATCCGCGCCGCTCATCGTCACGGCCTTAAAGTCCGCTACTGGGGCGTACCCGCCTGGCCACGGAGTCTGCGCAACCATCTTTGGAGCTTACTCGTCCGCGAAGGTATCGACTATCTGAACGTGGATGATCTGCGCAGCGCCACTCGTCAGGATTGGCGGCCTAGAATCTCGGATTGGTGGAGTTGATTGTAAATAGTTCGGTTTTCTTTCTTCTTTCTTCTTTCTTTTCTTTTTTATTTTCGTTTCCCTTTTCTCACATACATCGATCGCATGCAATGATCCCCCCACGCTATTCACCTGGTGTGATGCATGGTCTTTCTACTACTAGACGATGATGATAAAGATGGCGTTTTTTTGGTCTCTCTTCTTTTTTGTGCTAGGTAGATACCCACTTGATGGTTTTGGGATCAGTATTGATTCAGTTTTTCTTTGGGGAGGTCTGGTTTAGGTTTAGCTACTACTAGTCAATTGTTGAGGGGAAATCTGGGGGGTGATTGGTTAGTTGGTTTATTAGATAGCTGCGGAAGTACTACTACTACACTAGAGTACTAGATGATGCTGGTTGTGAATAGATCAATGAAGAACAACTTCTGATAGTTTTGGATCAAAATCTGAGCTGATGACTTCTATTAACTTTCCGTGGATGGGTTACTTTGGACTGCGGTTCTCTTGATGATAAAAAAAAATAACTGTTTGGTTGGAAACATGTCTGTTTCGGGGGATACGTGATCCGGGTATCATCTATCTATAAAGATAGTAAAAAATAACAGAAAAGATAACTGGCTAGTCCCTCCCGAGGGACGAGCAGAAAGACGTAGTATGTATGAAAAATAAGACCCCTATGTGAATAGGTAAATCACATACAAAACAACGCTTCCTCACCAAACTCGCGGAACACCGTACCCTCCTCGCGCAGAATCCCACCCAGCCAATCCTTGGCCGTTGCAAATTCCTTCGCGCCAAACTTCACCAGTACAAACCCGGCACGCACCCGTGCTGCCGTGAATGTCACTTGGGAATCATAGTTGGGCGTGGACTCCATAGCGGCCGGCGCCGAGGAGGCCCAATTCCTTGCGCCAATCCTCGGTAGCGAGGAGAACCGGTCCATGATGAAAGACGCGAGCTTTTCGAAGACTGGCCCGTAGAGAATCAAGGTCCCCACGACCCCGTGCGGTCGGGTACGCTCCCGTAACAGATCACTACGGTCGCATGTGTCCACTCCGTTTTCAAGAAGGGCCACGTCAACCTCGTCATCGAGAATGAGCGAGTCCCGGAGCAGCAGCTTCTTCTTTGGCGGTGCTCCTTTCCCGTCTGTTGTTGTAGTCCATACCTCGTTCTTGCCTCGCCAGAGATGGAAGTCCCAGCTCTCACCCCGGGATGTCCGGCCTTCTGTCACCCAGTCGAGAATGCAGAGACTGCTCTTATTTAGACCGTCGACCGTGAAGGTCTGGACTTGCTCATAGCGACTGTCTTTGTATGGCACAGCTGGGTCTGGCAGATAGCAGAGAGCAGCACCGTCGCCGACGTGCACGTCTAATGTTTGCCGACTCTTGTCGGAGAGAGAGTGTTTGAGAGTGCTGCGGTGGCCCTTCATGCTGATGGGCTCAGTTTTGAAAATCTTGGTGCTCCCTTGTGGTGTTGTCACGACCATACGGGTGTGAGCTTCGAGGGTAATGGAGACCGAAATATGGTCGCCTGGTAGCAGGCCTCCGCCGTAGGTGAGAAGGTAGAGGTGGACGGGGTTGGAAGGACATTTTGAGAGAGCGGCGTTCTGCGGAACGAAGCCGGGGACACGAGTGAGGAGTTTGAGAGGATATTTATAGGTGAGGGTCGTGAGAGAGGGATTTGCTGGTGGGAGGAGAGAGAGAACCACCTTGCCATGACCAGGCTTTGCGATGGAGGACTCAAAGGGAGACTTTATCGGCATGATTGCAGATTTTTTGTGAAGTACATGAACAACAAGAGAAAAAGTAGAAGTAGGATAGAGAGAGGGAGGAAGAGTGAGAGAGAGTAATTGAAGGTGGATATTTTATGGGTGGAGGAAGAAGGAAAAGAGCGAGACGAAGACGGAATGCTTGGCTTTTAACCGCATGGTCGAGCAGTTGCTCATCGCGGCGTGAGAGGAGAACCAGATGATGAGATGGAGCTGGGGGTGACGATGTTTGCTTTCCCCAGGTCCGGGCCAGACGTTGGGGGGGAAAGGGAGGGAAGGAGTGGACTATCGTCAGGCAAAAGGAACAGCTGATGGGCTGTGCTACTGCGTGGAGAGAAGATCGAGGATCGCCAGACTTCAATGGCGTCGCAAAATCAGCATCAAGGCGGGGTCTTGATGGAGATGACTGGAATTTGATGGTCTGGCACTTCTTGGCCCTTCAATCGCGTCTTTTTTAGGAAGTCGCGATGGAGCCCCCCGTGGTTTCCATTACGGCATCGATTACTTCTTCCTCCGCACTTCCCGCTTTGGGGCTTGCGCCAGGGCTAGGGTTGGTCCCGTCACCTGGTCACCTGCTCGTCAATGCCAAGCGTGTACCTTCCCAATTCGGGAGTAGCTTGGTAATTATTTTCTTATTCTTTTCCGCCTGTCATTTTACATCCTCCATACAAAGTCACGGGGTCTGGCTTGTGTATTATTCAGAAGCGGAGCTTGTCGCCTGAGGCTGCCACGCCTGTTGGCTCCCCGTCATCGCCAGGCACCAAAGCGCGTCGTCCGTCAACGAGCCAAAGTCAAGATCCCCAAAGTCCCTCCTCCGTCGTCCTATCTAACCCCCCTCCCTCTCTCCTCCCCGTATCCCTTGGGTCCCACTTCCGGCTTCCCGCATGTCCTCAATTGCTTCCCTTTACTATTGATCTATCTTATTTTTCACGTTTCTTCCCCGCCCACTGTCCGCGTGCCGCAAAGTGCCTCAGACGCGCGCGCAAACCCGGAAGTCATTGGGAAACCCCCCAACATCGCGTTTGGCGGCTCCCGTTTCATCTCTATCTTTGACAGATCACCAACCCCCACGTCCAAGTACGCTCTACGCCCTGCGAAATCCTCTGAGAACATCCATCCAATGAATTCCGTTGGATCCCGACTGACCGTTTTCCCGACTTACAGTGATATAATATCTTTTCCCAACAGAAAGACGATATGGAAGCCGAGTCGCCCCTCTCAACACCTCAGCCGGACCAGACTCAGAGTGATGCCTCCCCGTCAACAGACAGGAGGAAGTCGGGTCGCGTGACGCGAAAACCAGAGCTGTACTCCCAGAGCTTTGGCGCCAGCAATGGTGCGACCGCAGGCGGGGCTAAGCGCAAGCGCACCACGACTGGCGATGATAACGATGATGACAATGAACTGAGCAACGAGGACGCGTCCGAGTCAGACAGCGATGAGCCCGGCGACGAAGATCCCGACGAAGAGGAACTGCGCGAGAAGAAGCGGGCTGCGCGCAAAGCAGCTGCCAAGAAGCAGTCGTCCTCATCGAAACCGAAGCCCAAGTCCCGTACCGCGAAGAAACCCAAGGTCGCTGGCAACGGCCTACCTAGTCGCCTGGCCCTGCGGCCCGCTGCCAACGGAAAGAAACCGGTTTCGCGTCCCAGGCAGATGAAAGCGCGACTCACCATGGCTGCGCGCGAGGGCGGTCTCTATGGTAGGTGTCTTACTCCAATTGATCCCTTGGCGTAAATGCTATAGCTGACCCGGATTTTGTTCCTAGCGGAGGTCTTTGGCAAGGGACGGACCGTCGAAACGGTTGCGGCGGAGTGGCTTACGCATTATCAAGAAGAACAGCAGGAGGCAGTGTGCGACATGGTTAACTTCATGCTGAAATGCTCGGGAACTGATCTAGAAGTGACGACCGTTGATATTGAGAATGTCGACCACGCCCCGCACCGTGTGAGTGATTTGGCAAATCAGTACCAAACTTTAGGAATTTCCGAGTACCCCTTGATCTCCAAGTCCAGGAAACTGAGGTCTTTCCACCCCGTTTTGGAGAGTTTCATCATGACCCTGATCCAAACCCTGCACCACTCGTCCGTGCTATACAGCGATCCGAACCTTTTCGAGAACATCCAAGTTTGGATCTCGTCACTGTCCTCTTCCGGATGCCGGCCTTTCAGACACACCGCTACCGTTGTCTCCCTGGCCACGATGAATGCTTTCTGTGATATTGCGCGGGAGGTCAACACCACTGTCTCCACGTCCCGCAAACAGCTGGAAAGTGAAAAGAAAAAGCGGTCAGTGAACAAGGGCCGAGTCGACGCTATTGAGACAGCGATCGAGGAGGGTGAGAAGAAGCTGGAGATGATCGACGACTACCTGAAAGATGGTGTGAACGTTGTCTTCGTCCATCGCTACCGGGATATCGACCCCGCCATCCGCGCCGAGTGCCTGGCAGCTCTGGGACGCTGGATGCGCACCTATCGCGAGTACTTTTTCGAGGGCCAGTTTCTTCGTTATTTTGGCTGGAACCTCTCTGACGCCGCGGGCCAATCGCGTGCAGTGGTAGTTGAGCAGCTCAAGTCCCTCTATGAGATCAAAGACAACATGGCGGGCCTTCGATCGTTCACGGAACGTTTCCGCCAACGCCTGGTAGAAATGGCTGCCCACGATGCTGAGATTACTGTGCGCACTTCTGCTATCGAGCTGCTTGACCTGATTCGCGATGCTGGATTGATTGAACCGGCTGATGTGGATACGGTCGGCAAACTCATTTTCGACTCCGAACCCCGGATCCGTAAAGCGGCTGGTCGCTTCTTCGTTGCGAATGTCGAGGATGTGTTCGACTCCACCATGGAAGAGATGGCAGAGGAGGCTGGCGAGATCTTCGGTGATGAAGATGAGGACGATTTCGAGTCACCCAAGCGCTCTTGGATCAAGTTCAAGTGCCTCGCGGATATTCTCCAAGCCTACGACGATCTCGAGAATGAAAGTGCCGAGGAACCCGTGGCGCCACGAGATGCGCTTTCGGGTGCTCCGATGGACACACGTTTCGTTCTTGCCACGGAGGCCATTTATCCCCATCTCACCGACCTTGCTCACTGGCAGTCTCTGGCAGGATACCTTCTCTATGACCATTCCCAGATCCCGGAGGACCCCAGCGAGGATGATACTGCTGCTGTGGTCCGGAAATCGTACAAGATGCAAGAAGGTCAGGAAGTGATCCTTCTGGAAGTACTGTGCTGCGCAGTTAAACTGCGCGTCC